TTGGCACCAGGATTACAGAAATTCAAGAGCTTACTAACCCCAAAGACTGGCGATATGTGGATTCTACAAGAAACCCAGCTGATGACATCACAAGGGGCAAAAGTCTCACTGAACTGGCCAGCCCAAATAGGTGGATTCAAGGCCCAGATTTCCTCCTCCTACCTCCTGACCAGTGGCCCTCCTGCCCATCGTTGGGTGCATCAGACCCAGAGGATGGCATCGAGCTAAAACGCTCTGCCATATGTCATATGGCTAACACGACCCCGGGTAATCAAACCCCAGAGGCCCAGCGGTTCAACACATGGGCAGAATTAGTAGAAGCCACAGCTAAGGAGATTCAAAATGCAGCAATGCAGGGTGACCCAGCTGGGAGTAACTCACCTACTGCAGGGGCCTACACCGAGGCAGAGCAACAGATCTTGAGACAGATTCAGATGGACTGTTTCCCAGAGGACTACCACCTACTACAAGCAGGCAAACCTATACCGGCTAACAGTCGGCTGCTATGCCTAGCACCGCAGTATGATGCCAATCATAGACTGATCCGGGTTGGTGGCAGGCTGCGGCGAGCAGAGAGCCTTGATCTGTCTGTTGTACACCCTGTGGTCCTGGATCCCACCCATGTGTATACCAGACTACTTATTCAAGATGTGGATGCACGTCTCGGTCATCCTGGCCCAGAGAGAGTATTCGCTGAGCTTCGGCGGACTGTATGGATCCTGCGAGGTAGAGAGGCCGTTAAGCGGCACCAACATAGTTGCATGGATTGCCGTAGGTGGAGGGCAAACCCAGCTTCTCAGCAAATGGCTGACCTGCCACCTGCCCGCCTCAGGCTGTTCAAACCTGCCTTCTATTCCACTGGCATGGACTGCTTTGGTCCTTTCTGGATCAAGATAGGCAGACGCAGGGAGAAGCGATGGGGCATTTTGTTTAAGTGCCTCACTACTCGGGCCGTCCATATAGACCTCCTGACATCCATCGACACTGACTCCTTTCTGATGGCCTTCCGAAGGTTCATTGCGAGAAGAGGGAAACCGGCAGAAGTTTACTCGGATCAGGGAACAAACTTCAAAGGAGGGGAAAAGGAGCTCCAGCAGGCGTTCTCCATCATGAGTCCGGACCTCCAGCAGAAACTGGCTAAGCAGCAGGTTCGTTTCCGCTTTAACCCACCTGCAGCACCCCACTTTGGAGGCACTTGGGAAAGAGAAATCCGCGCTATCGAAGATGCCTTATACACCTCTGTTGGCTCTCAAACAGTGAGTGAGGAAGTACTCGGGACCGTTCTTACAGAAATCGAGGGTATCCTGAATGCCAAACCCCTAGGTTATGTTTCTGCTGATGTGGCTGACATCGATCCAGTGACCCCTAATTACTTGCTCACGGGGCGGCCTGACAGCTCCCTACCTCAGGTAGTGTATCCCGAAGAAGAAGCGCTAGGGAGGCGAAGATGGAGACATTCGCAAATCCTGGTGGACAGATTCTGGTCATCTTTCATCAGACACTATTTGCCTAATCTCCTAACTCGCATGAAGTGGCAGAGACCCATGGAGGACATAACAGAGGGAGCGGTTGTTCTGCTGGTGGATCCACAGCTACCCAGAGCATCATGGCAGATTGGGAGAGTGACGAAGATTCTTACTGGTTCTGATGGCCACACCAGAACAGCAGAGGTGAAGATACGTGACAAAACATACACCCGGCCTATAGTACGTCTGATTGTGCTTCCGGCGATCAAGGATGAGGATGACCAGGTGGGGGAGCCCTCGTCTGTATAAACAGCCTTTCCATGGGGCCAATTTGCACCGCAAATTGGGGGGCGGCTATGTTGGAAAGGCTGTCAGCTGTGTGGGGGGGCCCCCTTGTGGCGAGAGAGCACAGTTGCACTATTGAGCACATGTTCCAGTGATCAGAGTTGGAGCTAACACATAGCAAGAGCCGCCTGGCAGACTGACTCTGCAGGGGATGTCTACACACGGTGTGAGTTGTGTGCGTCGCTAAAGAACTGTGAGTAGACGTGGAGCCATGCCTGAAAAGGACAGTTTTAGTCTTTTATGCCAATTAGACATTTAGTGGATGTAGAAGTGCAATGTGTATCGACCTGTTCGCTATGTGGCTAGTTCATGCTACTAATGCTACCTGTTATGCTACATACCTGCTAGCTGTAAGCTAAACGATTTGGTGTTTGTGATATATTGTTGTTGGGTGTATTGGCAATCAATGTCATGTACTGTAAGGGTTTGGGAGTAGTGTATGAAACTCGTGCATGTAGATGTTCATATAGGAATTCCCATTTGTAGTTCTGGTTAGATTCGAAGAACGCTAATGCATCATAATTCATGACTTAGATGTTTATTACATTCAGTATTCTGTATATGTTCTGTTCACAGACCACACACACCCACACCCCTCACCACTCTGTAAGCCTGCGGTTGCATTACTGTGTTGCTGTACTGTGCTGTTAAGCTGAGGAATCACAGTAAAGACGGTATAACCTTTATCTGTGCGTCCTGTGTGTTCTGACCGACACCCCAAGGTGAACACCACTGCTATTCAGCCAACGCCTATACAGTCCTGGGTTCAACCCAAATTAACACAGGCCATTTACCATTTACCATATGTTTTGTGAAACTGGATGCTCAGATTTAGTGGGAAACCTTATACTTTGGAAAATTAGATCAGTAAATTGATCTTGTTGACTTAGGAATTATCTGATTGCACTTTTGAACCTCAGCATAAACACAACATGGTCAGCATATAGTTTTAAAGCTTATTTGACTGGTATGAGACTACTCACACAAGCCAGTGGATGTATTCTGCCTCGTTATCTTGAAGATGCTCATCTGAGGGGGGTAAAAAAATTGTACTTAATTTGGACAGTCTGCAAAAGTAAAGAATCCTTCAGTTACTTGTGTGGATTCACTTTTAAACGTATTAAAAGACAGCCAGTCATTCTTAGGACTGTCCACTGATCATTTTGTGTGTACCTGGACAGGTAAGCAGGAGGGTCCACAGGGAGCCCTCCTCTGCATTGAAGCTGATCTGTGGTGCCGTCGCTGCCTGGAGGACCACAAAGAACAGAAAGAACATGATGCAAGAAGATTTATAAAAGGTGTGGGGGGACATAGAATCAAAATCTCTTAACGTACCTCAGTGGGTGTCAGTTGATTCCCATAGTGCACATGAGTGCCATTATCCTGGCTGTAGCAGACCTTGAGTGTAACCTGAGGTAGAAAATAAGCCATGGGGAAGAGATCTCTGAAGACCCCATAGTGGTCCGCAAGTCTTTTAACATGAAACGGCCCGGTTGTCTTCTCCCAAGTTTCCTGCACTTGATCCAGAGGGATCTTAACTGGTGGACAACAAGGAACCTGTTACCACAGGGTACCAAAACAGAGCGACAGGAGAATTCGTTAGAAACTGATGTAAGCTTACACGTGCGCAGACGAGATGCCCTCTCCAGCTCGACGTTCTTCTTGTTCTCCTTCATCACCTGCCTCCTCTTCCTTACTTCTTTGGTCCTGCAGGGTTGATAGTAGGGCAGTCCGATGTCCACTCGCTCTGCGCCTTCAAACACAACAGAATTCTTTCGTGCTATCTGGAGTTTTTACCATTAAAAAAATGACATTTACAAGACATCACGTTGCCCCGATGTTCACTCCATCATCTCACCGTGCTCAGGGTCAGCGTTTTCCACGTAGCTCCTGTAAGTCTTCCACCATACGTCCTTGTTCCTCGCCTCCGCCGCTTGCCTGAAGTAACGATTGTAGCTGCGATACTTCTCTACCGACGCCAGGTTTTTAACATCAATCTCTTCATTTGGCATCGGGCCCAAAGGAGGAACCCGTTTGCAGAGGAATGCTGGAAACATCCCAAACAGTTAGACACATCGCTTTTGAAAATGCTACATCTTTAAATGGTAATGTGATAGTGTACAATAGTGATCGTAGATGGTGATTCACATTTACTTTTCCAGCTGCTGCGCTGTTCTATTTCACCTAATTTGTATTCATTCTGCACCAAAGTATGTTTCTGTGCCTTTTGATTGTCAAAGCTACTGATTTCCCAAATCTGAGTGGGGAGGTGGAAGAATCCATTACATTTTGATACCACGCGGATGACTTTGCCTACATCTGTGAAGTACACAGATGTAGGCATTGCATCCTCAGTGCTTTTCTACTTTGTAAGCAAGGCTACGTAAAAATTATGGGCCAAATGTGAGGAAATGTGGTGGAGAGAAAGAACAAGAGCATGCATTCAAATCCCCTTCTTTAAAATTGAAAACAATGCCTTTAGGGTCTTGGCAGAGGATCAGACAAATGTCATGAAAGGTGAAGATCAAGTTAATTAACTGGGCAGTGTAGTGCCTGTGGGCGAGTCAGACTTTGGAGGAAGAGCACCCCTCATTTCTCTTTGTGTTATTTATCAGCTTGTGGCTGGTTTTAAAGCATGACTGAAAACTGCAAAACAAATGGAAATGTGCAGAGGACATTTTGCACTCCGAGTCAACTGTCAGCGAGTGATGAGTTCACTGTCTCGTACTTTACCTGATTATTCTAAGGCAGATATCTTTGCACCTTTATAACTATGGCTGTGAGTATTTACTGATAACTATATTAGTCACTGGATAATGACACAGCATACACTTTGCAGTTCAAAATTAAGAAGAAAAAAAAACCAGTAGCAGCTAATTTCCAGAAAATAATGTAACTGATGTATGAGCCGTTTAGCATTAAATGTGTTGACACTCTTACAACACCTCAGTTGTTTTCCTGATCAATGTTTAGCTCGACCAAATTTATTCGTCACATTTGTTTATGAGATTTCTACCATGTTTGTAAGGGGACAGCGTGCATCAGGGCTCTGCTGCAATTAATATAACCTACCGAAATATTTTCTATATTCAAGACGTTCAGGAAGTATTTTAAAAATTGCCAAATACAGATGGACTCCATACCTGTCGTGACAAATGTCCTCGCATTATTGACCCCTAAATCTGTCCCGGTCCGTAAAGCAGCAGCACATACTGTGCGCAGCGCCATCTTGGAATGACTTTCCCCGCCCCTACTTTTTTTCTTTTTTTTAAACAGAATACGGTGGCCGAGAGGGAAAAAAAGAAAAGAAGACACTTAAAACTGAATTATGCAGTCATATACATTATAACATTAAAATTTAATACATAAAAAATTATGTATATTATGTAAAAAATTATGTAAGGATTTTTTAGGCGAATGTTTCAGTAAATATCTATTCTACATTAATTAAACCAAAATAAAGCAAACGATTGACATAAATTAAGTAGTATTGCCCTCGCAACTTCACAGCGGAACACTGTTACAGTTTGTCTCATAGCATACAAAATACAAAATATATGGGTCTTTTTTAATTTCATTGGTTTCTCGAAAGCACGTGAAGGCGTCCCTTTTTGCGTCATACGTCATCCAGAACGCTTCATCTAGCGATATTCATACAGTGTTCTGCATGAATCTATCTGTTTACGTGGTAGGAATTATTTTTTTTTGGTACAGCATCTTGCTGGTGAGTGTGTAATGGTGCTCTGTTTTAAGAGATCTTTTGACCATTTTAATATGTTGACGAGTATTTGTTTGTAACAGTCCGCGCTAACGTTGAATGACTTGAAAGCATGCTAACGCTGGCTAACATTAGCTTTTCCGTTCACTTGTGTGGTAGCTGACACTAGAATCTGGGACTGCTGCCTTCCTGCTCGCCTGTTATTTTTCCCTATAAATGTTTAGCCAGTTCATAAAGAATATTTTCCTGCCCAAAAATAAAATTGTTTTCTTTAAAAAAAACGAAATGAAGTTGTTTGTCTCGAAAGGTGTCATATTATGGTTAACCTCAGCCTTTTTTGCTTCCCTCTACAGAGATGTCTGCCATGTCTTCAGAGATGGAGTCTCAGAATGCAAACCTAAACTGTTCCATTTGCCTGGAGTTCTTCCGGTATCCTGTAACCATCCCCTGCGGTCACACCTTCTGTAAAAGCTGCATCAGCAAGCACTGGGACATTAAGAGCCAGTCTGACATTGGCCCTCAGTGCCCCATCTGCAATGAGGAGTTCAAAATTAGACCTGTCTTGAGGCGTAATGTGTCCTTGTCGGTCCTGGCAGAGACTGCAAACAGCGCTGGCCCCTCATGTAGGGATGCTCTGGTGAGAGGAGGTGAAGGGGCCAGAGCCATGCTGCTGTGCGAGCGCCATAAAAAGCCTTTGGTTTATTACTGCAGGCAGGACAAAAGGTCTGTGTGCAACGAATGTGAAAAGTCAGAGTGCATGAACCACGAAAGGGTCATATTGGAGGAAGAAAGGGAAACTCAAGAGGTATACAAACACAAAGCCTCTGCAGATTTAAAACTGGGAGTGGATTATAGATGATGATTATCACATATTTGTATGACTGTGAAAGAATAAATGATTTTTTTTCTTGACTTGATATGTTTTCATTACAGCTGCTGCTGGAAAGGAAGAATACAGACGTGGGGAAACTGCTTGAAGAGACGCAGAAAAGTATAAATGACTTGACTGAGAATATCAATCAAGCTAAGGTAAACTCTCACTTTAAGCCTTTGTAAATGCTTCGCAAAAGGAGGCTTTTAAGTATGAAAGAAATCGAAAGCGTGTGCCCAAATGAACCCAAGCAACTATTTTACAGAGCATATTTTAAATTAACAGGTAACTCTTGAGCAGACGTCAGCCTGGGTGAACGCCAAGTTTTCTAACCTGATGAAAATCCTGTCCGAGAAGCAGGAGGCAACAGTGCTTTTTATTGAGGTGGAAAAGCAGGCAGCCCTCGCGGAGGCAGAGGCGCGGCTAACCGAACTCAGCGAGCAATCCCGCCTGCTCAGAGAGCGCCAAGACCAAATTGCGGCACTACATGACCTCCCTGATACTGACCTCATCAGGGTTTGTATCCCTTGCCTTTACACATTTGGGAAGGGGAGGATCTGGTTTTTTATTTTGGTTCATTTTATAGTCCCAGTAGTTTACAAAGGTAAGTATGTGCAGGTTGCTGTTTCATGTAACATGCACAAGTGGATGCGTAGAGCTTTCAGCAAGCTTCTTACTGCTGGATGGCTGCACAAGCATTTTTTTTAAATAACGAAATGTGGGCTTAATTAAACAACACGAGGCTGGTATCTGCTCAATCACAGAAAACCTCAGTGTTTCGCTTCTTTCGACTACAAAGTTTATCAGAGTTGCGGCCCAGGCCTTGTCACGCCTTTCCTATGAGCCACGTAAAAAGAACATTGAGTGTCACAAGAGACATCTTGGAAAATTAATGTTTACTTTATTTGTTATCTCATTAAGAACTTTCCACATAAGTTTATTTTGTCAGATTTTAGTTCCAGGCCAGTGAATGCAGCATGATACTTATTTTGTAAGTTATAGTCTCCCCTTTGCGCTCGATCTGTCTGGTTTGAAAGGCACTGAGAAAATATTCCAACTCTCAGCTTCACAGCAATGCTTTCCTGACCAGTGGGAAACATCACAATGGCGTCTTTTACATATCGACAGTGTGTGGGCCAGACAAGTAGAGGCATTATTTGAGCCAGCTAGGGCAATAATTACACCGTTTAACAGAAACGATGCCTGAAACCTTTTAACCACAAATTCTAGGAGCACACTGTAGAGGATCCAGACACATGTCATAATGTAATGAATGGCAGGTGATTTTGAATTGTCATTAGAATTGAGTTTTTATTTCATTTAACAATTGCAGACGCAGCTTAAACTCACTGTTTCAGCTGTAAGGTCAAACCAAAGTAATTAATCAGACATTGAAACTTTTGCCTATTCGTTAAAGCACTGCCTGAAACCCGCTTCTTCACAGGAATCATCGCACGTAGAAGTCCCGCGCTTCAAGGATATTTCCACAGATGTGACTTCGACCCTGCAGGATCGATTAAACGGCGTCACCGACATCCTCTCCCGAGTGTCTAAGCTGGTGTCTGAGGACCTGGAGAAAGCTGTGACCACCGCTGTGGGTCATGACAGAGAAGGTGACCTGTCACTAGGAAAGATGAAGCATGTTAGCTCGATCCGCCTTCAGACGGTCCTCATGTGTTCTCATGCATTGTCTTTGGTTTCCAGGTTCTCCTCAGGACAAGAGGCCAGTACTCGCTGTGGTTCCCAGCCCCGCTGCTCCGTGCCACCCTGTTGGGAAGGAGGGCCTCAGTGCTTGTGAGTTCTAAGAGACATTTTATAACTAAGGACCTCTAAGACTTTTCTAGATCACTGTTCCAGCTTTAATCTGCCTGATTCATTTTCTTCCTTCTTACAGACCGATGCTCTCTGACTTTTGACCCACGGACAGCCAATGGGCATCTAGTTCTTTCCCAGGAGAACCGCAGGGCTGAGCACTTGACATCAGGGCCACGCGCTGTCCCTGCTCATGAAGCCCGCTTTGATCACACCTGGCAGGTGCTGTGCTTTCAGGGATTCAAACACGGACAGCACTACTGGGAACTGGAGGTGTCCAAGCCTTGGGCCTACCTCGGGGTAAGGATAATGCTGTGTAGGCTGTGGCTTTGTGACACATCGCTTTGTAGAGGGTTGCTAACGGGACTGCCGAATAAATCGTTGATATGTATGTTGAGGTCATCAGAACTAATGATTCCATGCAGATTGTAGCTGCACGTATTCATTCCACAACAGGTGGAAATCAGCATGTAACAAGCTCAGGAACCTAACTTGTGACCCACACATGTTACATGAACCTGCTCAATAGTAGATCCACTCTGATGTGTCTGATCAGTCGAGAATGTCTCAACAGATTTTCCTTATGTGTTATACAGGGATTCATTGTTCCCAGAGAAATGACCACAGGATGCTAATGTTTCACTTGTTCTGCGCATCTTCCTCCCCAGGTAACCTACGAGAGCATCCCCAGGAAGGAAAAGGGCAAGAGATGCATGGTGGGAATGAATGAACTGTCCTGGAGCCTGCAACTGGACGAGCACCAGCTCAGCGCCTGGCACAACGGCCGGCGGGAGACCATCCCCGGCAACTCGCATCACAGCCGCATCGGCATGCTGCTGGACTACGAGGCGGGTACGCTTACCTACTACGGAGCCGGCCAGACAAGGCTGCACGCCTTCCACTGTGCCTTCACCCAGGAGCTGTTTCCCGCCTGCTGGATAGGAGAGGGGGTCAGCATCACCCTCTGCTCTTCATGAGCGGACTTGTAGAAGAGGGGAACAAGTGGAATTCTAGGAATACTATGAATCATGGCCACAATCTGACTTGACATAAAGAACCCCCTCCCCCCGCCTCCAAACAATCTAGGAGCTTCTTTTAAATTCACTTTTCTCTTCTGGGACGACTGCCTTCCTGCATTGTTTTTAGTAGAACTGACTTACTGGGATTTTCTTTCCTCTAACATGTTTGCCATTTGGTTTTGCATTGTCACTTACCACAATGTTGCTAAGGAAACCGTTTATATGCATACGTAAGGGGCTTTTAAAACGATTTGCAGTTTTAGTTCACACTAATTCATTTTTTTTAACATGTGATAAATAATGTTCATGTGTCCTATTTCAGGTAGGAAAAAAACAGTTACATTTCAGTGGGTCACACTTTTGAGCTTTCATTACCTAAAGCTTAGAAACAAGTGTCTCCTCATGAGACACTGAACTCTGCATACATGCTGGATTATGTCTTTAATTAGGGCACACACCCTTGTTGAAACAAATGTTCTTTTTTCCAAAATAGCATTACAATATATGCTGTGTGATTAGTGAAAAGATACCGACTGAGGTGGAGGTGAATGCATCAGTAATGCTGTGTTGTTTCTGTGCCAGCACAGGAGGACAACTTGAACACACGGTCTTACACATGTCAGATTTGAGTATTCTTGATTCTGCCCTAAAGAAATGCACTTCAGGCTACATGAGAAGTTTCCTATAGGTTGGCGAGGACCTGTTACTCATTCCATTTGAAAAACATGAATTGACTCTAAGGGAAATTTATGATTCTTTTTAGCAAAGGTGAAATTCGATATTGTCCTGACTTTATTTTTAAAGTTCAATTAAAGCATCATATTAGTAGATTCACTTATTGTATCAATTTGAATATCTTCAGTGACTTCACTCGGAAGTTATCTCATTCATATTTTCAGGAAACTTGAGGTCGGGGTTACCAAGACACAAACCAACAGAAAAGCATAATGGGTCCACTTTTGTAGCTTTATGTTCATCACACAGAGTGAATTGTATCAGATGGAAACTGATGAATATCCGCCTGTGCCACAGCATATGTCCACATGCAAATGAAAACGGCAAATGTAAAGGGATGCTTGGGAAAAAAATTTCAAGGCTCAGATGTTTAGGGTAAATATTGTACTCATACATGTCCAAACCTCATTGTGTTTTCTGATAATATTCACATGTATGCTGAGCTCATTCTATGGAAGTATGTGAGCTACTGTAGGTGAAAGAAAAATGTTGCAGGCTGTAGCGCTACTACTGCGAACACAACTGAAAATCGAAGGCTGCGTTATCACGTTGCGATCTGATCATGACTGCGCAAACAAATGGTGCCGACGGTTGACGGTGCTGAGCTGGAATCTGATGTATTGTGCTGGTGTGTGCATATTTTGGGGCAGATGATTTTTAGATTATGAGGGTTTACAAATCTTAGCTTAGCTGAGAACATTTAGCACATTTAAAGTGGGTTACTGCTGTGGATTTGCACAAGTTTCCTGAAGATAAGGAACAGCTGAGGAAAAGCACATTTGGCTGTTTTGGCCTAATGATTGGGGGAAAACTTTCTGTCACTCTTCCTGCTGACTGTTGCATATGTTTGTCAGAACTGCTAATGCACTATACTGTGGACTATTAAAACTTATGATAGCAATACTCTGCTGAAATAAAGACAGACACTCTGAATTCTTTATTAAAATCCAGTCCAATGCATACATGCATCAGTTGAGCTCATGCCTTGTTTTCTTACTCGAGTTGTTAATTATTCAATAAATTAGTTTGAATTAAATACAGAGCTTTATTTTTATTTTACACACAGCCATGACGGAGCATACAGGAACCCGATGCATAGCATTCTAAAAGTGCAAAGAATCAGCCGCAGATGTGCCACAGATACAGTATATAGATTGGAGACCGCAGAGGAAGGAAGAATAGAAGATGAGATACTCAGATTGGACCTCAAACTGAAGAGTAATAATCACGACCACAGAAACAGAAGAGTTCACTGATGGTTCTGTTTGTGTATACAATGTTAAAAATGCAGTGAAGATGAAATCAGGCTGATGGTGAGTCTGACCGTGTGTCTTCTTTAACGTCTGGAAGCGTAATAAAATAGGGAGTGACATCATTGGGTGACTGCTTTGCTCTTGCAACATTATAAAGATAATCCCTCCTGGCAGTCGGTCCCTCCAAAAGCCCAGCCGTCCTCTCCCCTGCTCTAATCCAGGATCAGGGATTGGCTGCTGTGGCTCAACGCCGCTCTAATCTTTGTGGTCCGCTCGTCGGCCAAAACGCGTCAAAGCAGGTAGGGCCACCCTGCGACCCGCTCGTTAAAAAAGCTAGTTCTTTAGGTTAGTGTTCTTGATAAAATAATGTTATTTTTAAGTCTACATATTAAAAGCCTGTACACACAAATAATAGAAAAATAAAATACTGCGTTCATTTCGCCTCTGGACAGGTTAGCAAAGTATTTACTATCATTTATCTGAGTCTAGTTTTATAGACAGTCACAGGACATCATGAGCACAGCTGAAGTTAAGGTTGCTGCCCGATTCTGGGGAGGCTTCCAAGGCAAGAAATACTAAAATAGCTCATCAGGTTACAAGGTTTTAATCAAAAAGCCCTCAAAACCACTCCAAACACTTTGGCCTGAACAATCTGTTCTTCCTCAGAGATTGCTACCAACACTTCTTCTTTGCTACTTTACATCACGTAAAGGTGCATTTGAAGAGAATGAAGCTGATTACAATATATGAGTCGTTACAAGGAATGCAGGCTGAGGCGGGAAAGCAATTGGATGACTTTAAGGTTAGATCAAAATGGAGATGAGCTGGAAGGAGATTAGGATGAAAAAAACTGATAATCTTGGGGGGGGGGGGGAGAACATACTGGCCCTCCTACTGTCCGGTTAATGTAAGAGAAATAATGAGATCCAGCAGGATGGAAGATAGAGGACAAAGAGGAATGAGGGAGACATTAAGCAGGTCTATTGGTTCTTCTTGTCTTCTGGAGGAGAGTAGGGAGGAGGCTTGTCCTGGAAAGAGAGGAGAGTTTTGTTTTGAGCATGTGAAAGATGGTGCCATGTAAACAGAAGAGTAGGAGCACACAGTGGTCTTGGATTACTGGCATTCACAGACTGAAGCTGTGGCAAACAACTGGCTTTTAACCCCATAAAACGTGGTTTTATCAGTGACTTTCACTGCTGTAACACCTTAACCAGGTCATCCACTGATGTGGTTTCTGCATAGCTGCTAGCATCAGTGACTGTCTCACAGCAAAGTAGAGAGAAAATAAATAAAGACTGGCTGACCTTCTGCAGAATGATGCAGGTAGGGATGTTTCTGCTGTTAAAGGCTGATGGCCAATGCCTGTGCTGATTATTTTGCTTTTATTATGGTTTTGTTGTCATTCATTGCTCTGTTTTTGTGTCAGGAGATAACACGAAATGTTACTCATGGAAAATATTGACCTGATTTCTTTCCCACTGAAAAAAAATTTGATGTGATAATATATTGGTTATTCATCGCTAAATGTCATTTTAAGGCTAATATCTATCAACTACATTGCTACATTTCAGTGTTGTACATTAACCGTAGCGCTGAAACAAATTACACATTTCTCCAAAGTGGTGAAGACGGCTGCACGAAGGGCATCTCCTCTCTGGAGCTGTTGTCCAGACAGTAAATTGCCCTTCTTGTTGCACGTTGAAGCTCTACTTGGAACCTTGTTAAGATCCAACCATGCAAAATATGATTTTTCAAGTGGTCTTAAACTTTGATCAGGACTGTAGCATCACAGAGTTGGTGGAGATCTGCTGTCTGCGCATTAATGATATGAATCTCACATTCCACCACATCCCAAAACAAGGAATTTTCACCCACAGAACTGCTCACTGGATATTTTCTCTTTTTTGCTTCTTTCTCTGTAAACCTTAGAAATGGTTGTAAAGGAAAATCACAAATTTCCAACACCAAAATAAAATAAAACGACTTTTTTTCTACACTGGTAAATTAATCTGACTTGATGCCCCAGCTTAAATTTAGCAATACGTTTAAAAATCATGCAAATACACTGCGCTAAAATACTCTCCTCTGTATGCAAAAAGGCCAGCACTTTTCAAATTACACACCAAATGAGTTTATTTTGGATCTGCAGTCACTGTTAGTATAGCAATACTAGCAATGACTACAAACAAACAGATGACAAATGGAAAGGAAATACAGCTCAATTCAAAGAGACATGGAAATTAAAAACACTGTCTCACAGCCACTGAAAGAAAATCTTCGACAAGATTTACATTCTCATTTTAAAAAAAACTTGTAAAGCAGAAACATGAAGGGCAGCTCACCTGCGGCAGGTACACATGTGTAGGGGGCAGTGTGGCACAGCTGGCACTCGCTGCTGCTTCAGCGGCTTTGGCCTCCGCTGGGAAAGCGAGTGAGACAAAGGAGGGGGTCATTAATTAAACATGGGTCTTACTAATAACCCCTGGGACATATGAGATGAGAGGTGCTAAACGCGCTGCAGGTACGACGGCCTTTGCATTGAGAGAGAAAAAAAACGGCAGTTTAAAATCTCCATGACTTGCAGATAGGATTTTTCCAGCGAAAAGTGTTTTAAATATTTTGGAGATCTGACATTAGCTTATCTTTAACCTTAAATTCCTTAGTACAATGTCTCTGTGATGCTGAATTAAGCTCATGTGATATCAGTGCAGTGCATTCATTGTTAGAAAGCAGGCAACATGTTGCCCTTCCTACTGCTTTATGTATCCAGGCCCAAACAACACAAAGTACTTCCAATAATGTACTGTATGCATCGCTTCAAATATCTTGAGAAAAAAAAACAAAAAAAACAAAAAACTATCCACACTTTCCAAACAAATTACTTTTCTTAGTTTTCAATTTAAAATTTACCTGTAATCATTCAATAAAGGAGAATATTTTTTAAAACAATCAAGGTCCGCAATCTATATACCACTAAATATATACTAAAGACAAAAATGATTTTTTACAGCAGATATTTCACTTGATGTGGCAGGAAAAGCAAAAATATAATGAAAGACATTTCATTAACATTATACTGGGTCTTGGTAAAGCTCTCCTTTTGTATATGTTCTGTACTCACATCTTGTTGCATGCTCAATCATCCAGGTAAGTAAATCTCCAAAAGTGGATTTGAAGATTCTGTACTCACATATAATGTTTGTACATTTATGAAATGACAAAGGCATTCTATTCTTTTCTAACAAGACCTGTGTGAGCAGATCTGTTCCAACATGATATGTAAATGTTAAAGTATAAAATAGAGTGATGAACGCATGCAGAAACTCAACATCCCTTTTTTCCTAATAGCATGATGTTTTTATTTAGGCTGTAGCTGAAGTCAGAGCTTCTCTACCGGAGATTTTCACCTGCTGCCGAGGAGGGGAGGTCTGGATCATGTGGTGGCTGCTGACCCAGAGGAGCAGAATAAGGAGGTGGAGGTATGTATGCTGCAGAGGCATCAAATGCTGGAGGAGTGGCGTAGAATCCATCTGGAGTCCGAGAACAGAGAGTTGCAGTTTAGTTTTCACTTTCACAAGATGTGGATCTAAGCTGAGGACAATTCTGAAAAGCACCTGGAGGAGGAGGGTTAGGGTAGGAGTAGCCGGGTGGAGGTCCTGCTGGGTACATTCCATTAGCAGGCGGAGGTGGGTAAGCGTAGGCCCCATTAGCCATGTAGGGGCATCCACCAAAGCCAGCAGTTACAGGCTGACCTCTGGATGCTGAAAATGTGAGGCAGTAAATCGATTAATAAGTCCATGAAATATCAGGAACTGTACTATTTCATGTGTTCTGCTTTGTTAACATACCCTGAGCTGCAACCTGCAACATGTACTGGCCAAACTCTATGGCTCCTCCAGCAGCAAAGATGAGCTTGAAAGTAGCACTGCCCTCCCAACCGCCTCCAAGAGAGATTCAAGAGAGGGCTTAGAGACACAAGATGCTGCGTGTTCCATTACAGCATAACGGGGAAAAAGTACACCTACCTCCAGGCTCTGCATTGACTGTGCCCTTGATGTAATTGGCTCCCAGGACAGGCTGTTTGATCTCACAGCCCTTCATCAGGTAGAAAGGCATCATAAAAGACTGCAGTGCATCCCGCCCTTTAGCCAGGAAGATCACCTGGGATTAAAAGAAGAAACAGCATCATATTAGCTCAGGGGTGGGCAATCTCAGTCCACGAGGGCCGGTGTCCCTGCAGGTTTTAGATCTCACCTTGGGTCAACACACCTGAATCACATGATTAGTTCGTTACCAGGCCTCTGGAGAACTTCAGGACATGTTGAGGAGCTAATTTAGCCATTTAAATCTGCTGTGTTGGTTCGAGGACACATCTAAAACCTGCAGGGACACCGGACCTCGTGGACTGAGATTGCCCACCCCTGTATTAGCTACTCCCAAACTAACCTTAAATGATAGTAATTAGAATGATAGAGTTCTGCTCTTCTGCTCTGCTAGTACTTGATGTGAATTGTGGCACCATTATGCCAGCACAAGGCTTCGGCTAAACAAAGAGGAAGACTTGGTGGTGTTGTCACTCACCCTGTATGGAGTCAGGTAGATGCTGCCCTTCTTGCTCTTTCTGAAGGCTTCGGGCAGCCTTTCCGTGTCACAAAAAACAAGCTCCACATTGTCGTGGTTCATCAGCACACTAGATCCAAAAAGAGAAAGGAGACGCTGGAACCAGCTGATTGTAGGAACCAGAATTCTTTCCAACATTTTTCGTGTGCATCAAAAAGAAAATCTGTAATGTTTGTATAAGCATTTGACCTACTTTCATCTTAAAAGCTTAAAATGAGATCATTGGGTTATTGTGCAACCGTCCATTGCCTTTAGTACAAAGTACTATAGGCAGAGGATTAACATGCCATCTAGTGACAGAGCTTACTACAGGTTCCGGGTTAACTCTAATGGGTTTATCATTACACTGCAGCATGTTCTAGAAGAATCTGGCCATTATTTTTGACTCATGCTAATAAACAAAACAAATACTTTAGCACAGAGGCCAGGCCAGAGCGCAGACTGAAGGCTATGCAGCTATTGCACTGCAATATATGCTCAGCTATTCCTGCAATGAGGCGAAATAACGTTTTATCATCGATACATTAGACTTATTACAACATTTAAAAACCACTAAACATTTATGTAATCCTAGTCTGCGGTGATGATATAACAGGCTGAAGGGCCATATTTCGGCTAAGAGTCCGGGACCCGGTTCTGTAAGATGCGACGCGAATATTAGATTAGAAAAAATGACGTTGAAATAATTAATATAGCCATGCTAGTCGTGAAGCATTCAGAGGTTTATTTTGCATCGATTAGGAGCAACTCTTCAATTCGCACTATATCATATAAAAGGCTCTTTGTAAAAAGAAAAAAAATGATACTGTAGTTAAAAATGAAAGCAAAATTATTATTTCACGGTGTTCGACAAAAGCTTTTACACATATGTTTGTTTAAAAAAAATAAGCTACCAAATGCTAAAAGTTAGAAATTCAGTGCAGCGTTTACTGTGTGGCAGGTGTGTCTGTGTATTAACCGAATAATAATGTTGTGTTTGCAGTGCTACTGATATGTAAACTATCTCCATGACATGTCAGAGCCACATTATTTTTGAATGAGTCTGGTGTGACGCTCGTCCCAAAAAGCGGGTATAACTTATCCGTGGCTGGTTAACTGTAACGGCTAGCTAACAGCTGCTAACTGACGTTACCTTTCACTGTTGTTGATGATGACACCACCGGACTCCGAGTGATTCTGATTCAGAGTCATGTCGACGGCCCTCCAGATTGTCTGGAAAAGATTAGATACTGTTTTATTCAGTCAGAAAAACGTATCCAAAGGCCTCTCTGGATCCTCGGTGACTTCCCTCCGCGCGGATAACGGTTGTTGTGATACAGAGCCAGCTGAGGTTGCCGCACCTGCCCTTCCGCCATACGTGTGAAACGCCCACCGCGTGACGTCACGCCCCTTTAAAAAGTCGGTTTGCCATAAGCCTTTCAAAACATTCAGTCTGATTTTAAATATTTCTTTAATAAATTTACGATCAAATGTCTATGACTGAATGACGTTTAAATGACCGACACGAGCTCTGCAAGGTTCTACCAATTGCAATATAGCTTCTAATAATAGTAATAATGCTAGAAAATCATCATATACGTAAGACTTTTAATGTGGCTAACTACGCCTCTATAGTTAGTAGTACAGTTAGATGTAAATAATAATAATAAAATTTATTAATTAAAAAAGAATGAAAGACTTCTTTACATCATGAGTCTGGCTGATGTACCAGTTAGCCTAAATAGAAATGTATTCTTACTTAATTAGTATTATTACCGTCAAGGCAGGGTCAGCCTTACCTGTTTAAGGGACAGACAATTTATTTCAAGTGAGTCACAGGCATTGACAAACAGAAGTAAGTCAAAAATTCTATTTGTAGTATAAATATGGCAAGATGATTTATATATCAAGTATTGAAATGCCTCTTACATTATGTAACAGAATGAGTCAGGAGAAGGTGAGTGGTCAGGTTAGTCAGAAGCACCCACATCCTTGTAAAAGATGCAACAAGTGGTGTGTGTTGGCTAACAATAGTTGACATCTATGTCTGACCCTCTAAATTCCATGCACAAAGCTATTATATGAGCCAGAAAAACAAGGAACAGATAATAGATTATACAAAGTTGTTAAATGAAACAGATGGGTCAAATGTCACTTTTCACTCCAATGTGCTAATACACGGGAGGTGATGTAACTACCCTTACTGTCAAAGTTTACTGCTATCACATGAAGCTCTAGGATGCCATCATGGAACATGTCATACCTGGATTGCAGCTCATATCACTTCAGTGCTACCATAGAGGTAAACTCTCAATGCCTACACAAGCAGCTGTGTGGAAACACCTGGCTGATGATTGAAATTTACTCTAAAATGATTGTATAAGAATTCTGAATAATTATAAGAACTCCATCACCTCAACATCAACATAAATAATTTGTTTAATTCAAATAATTTTCAACTAAAATTCCCAAATATTCATTAGCTGTGTTTTTTAATATGCTGCACACATGCTAATAGATTTGTATATTGCTTCTATATTAATAGTCTAATAAAATCAAAAGTCCTTAAGAATTTTATTTGATTGAACATTTTATAAACCAAAGATTTTAAGATTTCATTGAAAAAAGTCATCAGATGCACTGTAAAACTTGATATACTGTCACCTTAACCGGTGTGTAGAATGCAAACTTTAGCTAGTTAGCTATAAGCTAAACTAGCTTTTTTAATCTAGCTAATTTAAAAACGATGTAGCCAGTTGAAAATAGAGAATATATAATATAGTGAAAGCAATTACTGAAACAGTTTAAGAAAGGGTACCTTAAAGTAAATTATTATTTATTTTTTATTTTATTTTTTATTTTTTATTCCTATTTATTCTATTTATCCCCTTCGTATATTTTATTTATATTGTCTCTGTATTTATATATATGCGTGTGTGTGTGTGTGTGTGTGTGTGTGTCTGTCTGTGTGTGTGATTTATATATATATAATATTCTGTAACTGTAACTTCTGTCGGTGCCATGCTTTTTTGGAAATCGAATTTCCCAGAGGAACCCACCCGAGGGATTAATAAAGTTCTATCTAATCTAATATGGTTTTGTATAGAATGTGATGTCTTTGTGATTGATAGTGTTAGAAATAAGGTTTCTTTTTAACATTAGTTGCAATTGTATGCTCATAATAGAGTTGATACACTCTTCATTAGAAGTATACAAGCTTTACTAATCTCAAGCTGTGAAGGGTTAAGAAAGAGGCATGGAAGGAGTTGAGTGTTGAAAGTAAATTGCTTCACCTTTACACAACACAGTTTCAGACAGGACAGGCTGCTTGGCTTTGGGTGTCTGACAACAGGTGGTTCTAGTCGACAAGACATGGAGACTTTATTGTGACAGGACAAGATCCCTGAGTGGAGGACAATGACCGCTGCCATCCAGAAGGACTTCGAGAAGAACAAATCAGGGTATGTTGAGTCTAAACCGTGGCATCTCTCCATCAATAGCCAATCACAAATATTTCTTGTTTCCATGTGTCTAAGTATATACTTTGAATTAGGAATTGTGCTTCACTTCTCCGTGTGCAGACTGCCCGAATAGAGGTCCACAGCTATGCAAGCCAAATCTTTAACTGCCTGATAATAAAATACTGCAAATAGTGTCTCCTGAACTTCTCTCAATTAAAAAAAAAACACCAACTCATTAGCCACTCTAGCATTGTGTGCTATATAGACGCGTCTGGATAGGCACCACTCTGTATTTCTTAGGCAAATGCCATTAGAGCTGTAAATGCTAGTCTGTGAACACAGATCCCACTAAATGATCTCAGGACCTTGCCCCATACTCATGGAGTCTGATCAGAAATATGTAGACCAGACAGTGTCCAGCTCTCGCTATTTAATTTTCTGGTACCTCCTCAACATTCTTCAGATTGCATTAAATGTGCCCTCCTGGAGAAACTAGATTACCTGTGCAACCAAAATAGCAGATACTGTCTTATGCTACAAGTAGTGACAAGGACACTAGCAAGAAGCAAAACAAGAGAATAATATCACAGGTTTAGTCGGCTGTACCATTTTTTGGAGCAGCGTATATGAACTCATAGTGGAGTAGTATAATGGAGTAAGTCAACATTCTAAATAAACACAGGTAAAACTAACCACAGACAGGCTGCACTGTGTCATGTTACACGCAGTTTCATTATTTAATTCATCATGTGTCAAGTTATGGAAAATTTGCTCCCAGGACATAAATTTTATTTCATAACGTGAACAGTGAATGTAACCTTTAAAGCTTGATTTACAACAAATCTCATGTACTGAGATGTAAAACACTGTGTGTGTGTGTTGATGTTTGTATATGCAAAGGTAACAGGGAGCCAGACCAGTATTTTGTATTCAAACAAAATGTAGGGCACTAGATGAAGAAAAAGTCATAAGTCACAGTCATTGACGTTACCACCTTCAACAGGAAGTGATGACTTCCGGCTGCTGTGTGACAGTTCATCGAAACACACCAAAGCACTCAGCTTCCCTATATCGCGCACACTAGACTCAGCAGCTCACGAGGCAGGAGTCTGATGATCTTAGATTCGCATCAATATGTCAAGTCAAAATGAGCCCACGAACAAAGGAGACAATCTACTGCAAACACCTGAACAGGTAAGGACTACAGTGCATTTCAATATGTTGGCATGATTGTAGGCTACACAATATTTATTTAAATTTGATTCTCCTTAAGTTATTAAGCACTTATGTTACACGGTGATCGGGCAACAAGCAAACTGATGATCCCTTCAAATATTTCTGCTCTGGGTTTGAAAGATTTTCCTGGTTTGGTTTTCAGTGGCTTGTTATACTAGCAAAGCTTTTTTGCATTTTAGGGTAATTATATAAAAATTAAAAGAAAAAAAAACATAAAATGGCAGCTACAACAGTGTTGTTGCATCCGAAGTTGAGTCACTGTCTCCAAATGGCTATTTCGAGATGCTGTGACTATGATTCATTATTATTTTTGGGGGGAAAAAACATCAGATCATGAAGAATTAAACATATTTTTCACAAAAGTGTTTTGCAATCATTTACTTTTGAAGGGTTTGCTACATTGGTACATAATGAAAATGCTGTACTCGTGTGCATGTGCGTTTGTTGAGGTTGGGTACGTGTGTATCTGCATAATTATTTTCAGACTATGTTTATAATGATTCCCTTTCAAGTGAATTTCCTGGATTGTTGGTTTGCTTTTGCTTCCAAGTCAGTTTCATTATCAGCGACAGAGGAAGTCTCTTGCATAGGCAGGCCTTATCAGAAACTTTAAAGTAGCACTCGCATTTCTTCAGACCAGCATTGATGTACTTTTTGCACAGGAAGAAGTTGTAGCGAAGGCTGTAGTGACTTGAGATCACATTTAAATTCCTGTTAGTTTCAGTTTGATTCAACTGAAGTAGTTGCTTTTTTTTTTTACATCCATTTAAATGTGCAACATAAGCACCTTTCCCTTGTTTTTTCCAGGAGCATGGCTTACCAAGACTCAAACAGGTAAAAAACACAAACAATTGGCTTGGCTGTGATGAACTAAAACAGTGTGTGTTTGGGGGGGGTTAAATTTAACTAAACCAAACTAGCCAAACTGAAAGACCAGAGCCTAAAGACTCTGTATCACTGTTCTCAGCATGTTGACACTGTCATATTTATAGATAGTTAGATGTGTAATGGTTAGCAGGTTCATTGCTAATTACCACTCAAGGCTAAATAATGGAATGGATTTATATAGTTCCTTTCTAGTCTGACCACTGAAAGTGCTTAGACTACATTAAGTATACACTGCAACTACACAATTTACCTTTCTGTTATACATGATCACCATTTTTAGAAGTCATGTGATGCAAGATCTATTGATCAGTAAAAAGAACAATCAGTTGTTGAGTTACTATTGAGATGTCTCTCTCGCTTTCTCGAAGCTTAGCTGCTGCTTTTGTTCCAAGAGGAAAAATAACCCCATCGCTAAAGTCATTATGCTACACTTGGTACAAAATGTACCCAAGTTATTTTACTAGTGGAGATTTCATCCTCTTGTGACAAAAACTGTTGTACTAAATTTTATGTTAATCCCTCCGATAGCGGTCAAGAAATTTTGTTGCAGATCAGCTTGGTTGCACTGGCTGAGAAAAAGTCAGATATCCCCCCCAGAATCATTACGATAGATCCTTTAAGAATAGCCATTTCGTTCTGCTTATCCAATGCGGGAAGGGTTGGAGCATATCCCAACTCCAAGAAGGAAAAGTCAAGGAACACATGGGACAGGTTGCCAGTTTATTGCAAACTTACAAACCAGAATTGCCAAAGAGAAATGAACCCACATATGTCTGGACTGGTGGAGGAAGCTCGAGTAGAGGCAAC